CCTGCTTACCTCTGTCTTAAAAGAAGTACAAGGTAAATATATGAAATAGGTACTGTGGTGAAACCTTTGAAGATACCTAGCTCTAATTTGGCAGAGTTCATGTTCCCTAAAGGGTCTACCATCCCTGCTGTGTTCACTGTAATTCTTATTTATTTGATTTCAGTTCCGCCTGACTCCAGGCTGACACTGGGCAGCTCACGAAGTTAAAAATACAATAAAAAGCAAATGATCAAGAGAGGGATTCCGGTCGCACAACACTGAAAAACATATGCAAAACGTATACAAGCACATCCAGGAGGGGGTCCATCCACAGTAATTCAGCAAATTAAAGAGTTAAAAATATTCGGAAACTCCCCCCGTGTGGCTTATGGTTGAACCTTTTATTGAATCAGATCTGCTCTAATTGAATTGTGTTGCCTTTGAATCTCAGATCAAACCTAATCTTGCTACCTGGCAAATCTTTAAATTGATTAACATTTGGGCTGATTTACACATTCCTTAAATACTTAAGCTCTTTCCAGTAAAATTGAGTGGACCTGTCAAGGTTAACTTAAAAAGTGTCTTAACTTTAATACCTATGCAAAGAACCATTTTAGCCCTGAGAGAATTCAAAAATATTATCCCAAATTTTGATCCCACCTCTCAAGTGATGTCAGATCACAATTTTAGCTTATTGTTATATCTGAATTCAGTCAACATACTATAATTGAAACATTATTAATAAGCATGACTGTTAGCAAACTATCGGTAGGGAGCCAGCTAGCTGATAATAATGTGGGTCAGAAATATATGTCGAAATCTATGGAAATAATTTGGAAAATGAGTATTTGAAAACAGCCACAACGGCATCTTTTTCTGAGATCATGTGGTTATCCCCCTCCCCCATCATTCCAGAGCTCCTTGTTGGAGCTGAATCTGAAGCATTGCATAACTTTATTGGTCATGCTTATGGGTTAAAGTATTACTTTTATCTTTGGACCTGCTGACCTTTAGGTGGGATTTGTAAATAGGTGTTGTATGTACACAAGAACATTGTTATGAAAAAAATACACTGAAAATAGATTTCTTGTTCTGTATTTTGAGACACCGTTAGAATGCACTGGACCCTGTTAACCAACTTCTTCATACCTGATGTTAAATTTTAGCTCCATAATTCCTAGCCAATATAGCCTTTTGCTGGTGGGAAATGATAGCACTTGGTATCCAACACGTTTGGAGTTCACCAGACTGGAAAACGCTGTTCTAAACAATTATCAGCCAAAAGCAGACATATGAACCCATAAGGGTTGATTACATGGGTTCAAAAAAGGAAAGGAAAGGAAAGGAAAGGAAAGGAAAGGAAAGGAAAGGAAAGGAAAGGAAAGGAAAGGAAAGGAAAGGAAAGGAAAGG